TAAAATAATATAACTCAAATATTCATATTTTTAAATAGATAATCTATTATAGACTTATATAATATACCCAATATTAAAAATAATGAAAAATACAGTTAATTTCATGTTATTTAAATGATTATCAATAATTGACGTAAATAATAATACATTATTATATAATACAGTATTAGTAAAATACATAAAATAGTTATGGTAAAAAAATAATGGTTTAAACTTTAAAGCCAATTTTATACAAGAGAATCTATCGGTTATATTTGGTCATATATTTATTATATTCTACTTTTAACTTATTTTGTAAATGAGTGCAAATTTGTAAATTTTACAAATATTCTGTGGATTTACAGTCGGTGTCCGGTAGAATCAATATGTAAAAAAGTTCGGTGGAGTCGATACGCGGTGCAATCAATAGCTTTTTTATAGGTAAAAAGGTTAGGTTATTTAGGTTGTAGGAAAAGTAATTTGGCAATTTAAAATTGCAAATTTTGGAAGGCTATAACTTCAAAAGTGTAGGTAAGAGCGACAAATTATGATTGCACCATCGTTCACACGCCAAATTCGCCAACAGTATTCACTACCTACTATAATATAAACAACTTGATATTATGATCGGAAATTTTTGATGGTCATTGGTCATATACATCGGTAGGCACGTGATGTAGCGTAGGGTAGGTATAGTAGGTAATTAAGAACAATAATTTAATGATAATATGATAAAATAATATATTAATATAGGTAAGGTAAACGAGTGATCTATCCAGGGGGTTAGGGGGTTGTAAACAACCTATTCACCCTACTCGTAAGTTATTAAATAATATTGAAAATGTTATTGATAAATCATAATTAGATTACATTTTTGAAAAATTAATTTTCATCAACGCTCATCTYCAAAAAAAATCTGGGTATGCCACTTATAATATGAAGGTATTTTATTATTTACATCGTTTGATATAGCTGTTTCATGCATTTACCTATGAGTGTAGACCGTCCGCCGACGCCAGCGTTGTTAATGAGTACGTCGAGGCCACCGAACGTTTCTTCGACCCATTGGAACGCTCGTATGATTTCTTCCTCGTGACACAAGTCCACGTTTAACGGGTAGAGGTTTGTTGTTTTTAATTCATCTTTCAGTTCCTATACGTAATTATAGATAAATATATTTATCAAATATTATGTAAATAATATATGTTACATAAGGTATAATGAGTATTATTTTGATAATGTTTAAATGTTTTTATATTGATTTTTTAATCAATCAACAATCAACATCGTACAAAATCAATGACATAACACAAAACCATATATAATTATTGTTTTGATTATATTTGYAACGTGTGTATGATATACAATATGCATATATTATATAATAATAGTTAATTAATATTTAATAATCCAACTTTATTGATACCTCTCTATCTATATAATAATATTATATGCTCGTTTCCAGTACGGTTTTTTTTTTATTAACACACATGAAAGATCTATAACTAAGTGGACTGAAAACAGAGAAAGAGGTTCAGGGTCAATATTTTTAGAAAAATATAGTATACCTACAACTTATAAAAAATATTGTTTATACGCACTATTAGTGAGAGAGAGAGTATCCTAACAACAATGATAATAAAAAAGTTGTATGCACTATTATTTAGGTCCTATTACCCCATCATATTGTTAACAGTATGTAGTAATATCTATTRTATCATGCATAATCATAAAAACTATTTATACTAAAAATATTAACTAGGTTAAGTAAACATGTATGAAATAATGATTAGTATTAAGTCTAAGTCAGTAAGTTCTAGCAGATATAGGAAAATACAAACTAGGTTAAGCAATAATATATATATATATATCATAGTAGTATAGTACGAAAAAAAATGAAAAATTTAGAGTTGTAAATGTAGCGGTGGTGATCGTGTGACTCGGTCCTCACTAGATACGAGTGCCTATTTATTAATAAGGTTAGAGTATCGTGCTCACCTAGCCATTATGTGATTTATCAAAAATGTTTCTRTCCAATATATATCAATTTATCTGACTTAGCTACTTAGGTATATGTACCTAATCTAAAAAAGCGGGTAAGTCGTGGATGTTGCTCTGCTGTACAGTTGGTTACAAGTAGGTTACTGTAATGGATGGAATTAAATTTGAATCCATTGATATTATTGATATTATATTAAGATAATTTTTTATAAATTTCTAGCTTAAAATAATTTGCGAATTTTCGTGATTTTTAAGTATGTTGTCAAAATTCAAACTTTGAATGCTTGTAAAAAAAAA